TTGTATTGCAGAAGGATTGACTCATATGTAAATGAAGTGCTGCAAGCCTGCCAGGCTAACCTAGTTCTGGGGTGGTTTCTAGATATAAAAAAAAAAAAAAATCTCATGCTGTCATGCATAACACAGGGCTCGTACACTCAGGAATGAGTTGGTGAGGAGTGAACGCTGTAGTACTAAGGACAAACATTCCTTGCTCGTGTTGTAAATACCTTGTGTACGAGCACTTCCATGAACGCTGCCAAGGAATGCTGTCTGAAGGACGTGGTTTGTGCCAGACCACTGTGATGCTACCAGACCACTGATGCTACCCAGCAGCTTCTTCAGTGTGTCAGTCCTCCGTGCTGAGAAATCAGTGCAGTTTCTCGTTCCAAACCTTGCAGGGGCCACTTCTGAACGGAGCACACAAGTGAGTACCCTGCATGTAGCATTCCTGGGATGAAAGCCTTGTGGCAAAGCTCTACGTGTTCTCCTGCTCCCAGATTCCTCTGCCTCACCATGTGGACATACCATTCTGCAGAGGATTAAGTATCTTAATAGACCAGTTCTGCCACCTGTGTGCCTGTCCTTTGCCTGCTGTTTGCCAGGGCAGCATCTGACACTCTTAACACGTCCCTTGTGCTGAGGTAGGTGGTTATGTTCAAGGCATGAAGGGGAAATTCTGTGTCTTTTCTGTCACTTTGGTCCTGTACTGTAAAAATCTTAATTCCTACAAATTTCTAATCTTTCCCCTACCTAAAGTAGATTACTAGTTTTCATAAAATTCTGGTCTTTCTTTGAATCTTTCAGAGATCTTCATCGTAGCTTGTGGCAAAATATTGTGCAAGTTGAGTATTGAATATAAACAAAATAGAACTAGATCAACAGAGCACTGCCACAGAACCAAACCAACTAAACAAACACACATTTCCTTTTAGCAGCTCTAAATGTATTGCTGTTTTAAAAACGGCTTTTCTTCAGCACGACAAGTGTATAGGAACACTATTGTCTTTACCACGATTCCTTTCTTTTTTTTTTACATCCTCAGTAGTTTATCCATCTCCCATTAGTGTGGTTGCTTCAAGCTTCTCCATTTCCTTCTGTACAGAAAGCTGTCTTTGTTCCAAATTATTCTTGTCCCCATTTTCTGAGGCTTTTACTACATCTGCTATCTCAAGAAGAGATCAGATGATAAGAGCTGAACACAGCACTCTGATGGAGAACACGCTTCTGATTTATGCTGTGGCACAAGTCTTGTACGTCTTATCCTTTAGATAATCATGTGAATGCTTTCATTTTGAAAATGGAAAAAAAATAACATTTCTAAGTTGTATCCTTGTATATCTAGCAGTGTGTTTCCTTTATTTGCTGAACACTTGATTCAAATATTGAGTTACTCCAGAACTGTTAAACCCAGCAATCAGTTTTGAGTGCTTCACATTTTTCATTTAAATGCACTTTGCTTTTTATTGATCTGCAGTGGATTTAATTTGTCCCTTGGTCTGGCCTTGCATGGTTCATCTGGAATTCTTTCCAGCCTTCTCTGATTTTGAACAACTGTAAATTTTGTCATCTGTGGGATTTTGGCTGTTCAGACTTTTGGTGGGGAGGGGAGAAAAGGTGTTACCTTCCTGTTTTTCAGTTCATTCAAGAGTATATGGTACACTGCTATCCTGGTTAGAGCTGAGGGCATCCCTCCCTTGACCCTTTTTCTGAAAGCTGTTTATTTTGTTCTCAGGCATTTTCTGTGTCTCTCTTCTGCTTTCAAATCTATATGCATGCTCTCCCTAATAAACTTCAATTTCCTTAGCAGCATAAAAGGATTTTTTCAAATATTGTTTCAAGTGCAATTCCAAGCCTCTTTGAATCCATGCATAGGTTAACAAGCCAAAAGCAATCATTAACAGCAAAGAAAAAAGTGTGGAAGTGTTTATCTGTTGGAGAAACTAGGCTTGGAAAATTGTGTTTTGTCAGAAATATTAGAGCTGTGCACAAAGTCTGTAGCTCTTCCACCTTCAGGACATTCTTGCTCCAGCCTTTGTCTGCCTTGGTTTTTGTTACATCTTAAATCTTTGTGTAGGCTCACTTTGTTTTGAATGCAGAGAACACTTTCTGTCTTACTGTCACTTGAAATAGTTGGAAATTAGCCTACTTTATTATTTTCTACCCGAAGGAAAACTGTGGTTGGGGTTTTTTGGGTGTTGGAGTGGGGAGAGTGCTGGTTTGATTTTTTGTACCAAGTCCCTCAGCTTTTCCTCCCTTGCCTTGCTCTGAAAAGATTCCCTTTCCATACATGTCACTCGAAGCTAGGACATCTACCTGTGTTTTAAATGTCTTATAAAAAAATGTTGGAACCCTCAAGAAATGTCACACCTCTTCTGTCTTGCCACCAGCCCACCGAGTGCTGGTACTCTGCTGTCAAGGTAGAGACCTCAATGCTTGAGGTGTTTAACACAGATGCTCTTTGGCCCTGGCTTGCAGATGTGTTTCTCTGGGTTTACCAGACTTTTGACTAGAACTAAGTTTACCCAGTAATGCCAGTTTATCTTTTGCAGGTTGATGCTACAAAGGCAAGTGGTAGGGAGCCTTTGTAGTTCACATCACTGATCTCCCAGCATCTGTGGTTGTGAGGAAGGGTTTGGTTCCCTTTTGCCTGTTCTGTTTGGGTCAGGGTACAACGGCATTATCTGAGGATGATTTGACATCTGTTGGAGGAAACATTACAAAGAAACTTTCCTAAAGTTTCTCTGAAGCTCAGGAGTTAAGAAATAACGACTCTTCTCCCCAGGACACAGTTTCTGACCCACTTATGTAGATTCCACTTTCAGGGCTTCATTGACGTAAATGAATTTTGGTTCTGCCTTAAAACCACTGCAAGAAAAGGTCTTTGTGTAAGTTTCAGTTTATGTTTTGGTTTTTTTTAATCCGTTACACCATTGAAGTATTAAATAACTTAATACTGCTAGAGCTTATTCTTTCCAGTCCACGGCCTTCCCCTGAGGAAAAAGTAAATATGCCTCCTCAGAGACCCTTTGAACATGATGCTGCACAGATGTGCAGGGATGCACACACACATGTGTACACCCAAACAGCACCGTGAGCTCCGTGCTGGCAGCCTGTGATGTAAGGGGGTAAGACTGTGGAGGAGGCACTGGATCTGACTGAAAACTAATACTGAATTTCATTTCAGAAATCATGGAAGTATCATGCTTTTACCATGCACTTACTATGTTCAAAAATATTTTTCCAGTGCACGTTATTTCTGAATTACGCATTACTTACGTGGAAAATTTGCAGTGTGTGTTCGTACGAAATTGCAAGGAAGCTTCTTCCAAAGTCTGCAGAATAGTGAATTAAAGCATTTCTAGGCATTTTGTTCCTGTCTATAAATTGAATGAGGAAAACACATCAGTGTGATTGGTGCATTTAATGGCTTCTCAGGTTGAGAAACTCACACAATGGATTATAGTAGATTTCTCTTGACCAGGTAAAAAAAACTGACTGTGGAAGATACGTCAGGCACTTCAGAGGAAGTTAAATTCAAATGGAAATCATTATTTCTCTTGAGCTGGATATTTGTAGGAATACAAACCGAGTAGTGCAGCTGGGTGGAGAGCACAGGTTGCATCTGCTGCAGGGACTGCTTGGGATAAGGCAATACCGGTATGAAAAATATCAAAGGGGCCGGGACATGGACTAAGGAGTGTGATGATTCAAATTCTGGGTTTATTTTAAAAAGTCCTCCAGGATGATGTTGTGAAACTCTGAAGAACCATCAGAAATTTAATGAAAAACTAGAAAAGACATCAGGTAGGGAAAAAAAAGTCAGAGAACGAGGGCAGTTTGGAAAAGGTTCAAGGTTTTTGATACAATAAAAGCGATATGTTGCTGCTCTTGAAGTATACCATGCAAAGCCCCAACTGTCTCTTCACTGCAGGAATGCTTTTCTTTTCTCTGTGGTATTTTAGAAAGCCACATCTTCAAGTAAAATTGAATCTGACTTGCTTTTGTCTTTATGTTGTTGACACTGAATTACTTGCTTATTGGATACATGCTTGTCATGCAGACCATCTAAGACGCCACAGAGGGTTGGTAACCTTGAAGGATATTTTCTATGTGGTTTTAACGATAATACATTCTGAAACAAAAAATGCCTTTCTCCATATTACTTTAGAAGATTTAAATATTTTTCCCCTGTTGCCCTCACTGGAGTGCAGAAAATAGGTTGACTGAAAGGCTGACTATCAAATTAAATTTGTTCATGTTTTAAATAACTTTTCACATTGCATCTCTAGAGATTTTTATCCCTGTATCTGCAGAAATGTCATTTGAAATTCTTCTTCCTCCAAGATTTTACCAGGGCAAAATTTCAAAAATGTATGCATTCATTTCCTTCACCCTCTTTCTTCCAGTTCTATACCAAGCTGTGCCCCTCTTCTCCCTTCATTTGGGTGTCTTTTCCTACTGCTACTCATCCAGATGGGTTTAAGCTTGGGATACACAGCATACCTGCTTCCATGAGGCATCTCTAACACTCTCCTGCATGAGTATGGATTTGTTTGCAATAAAGCAGCTTGTTTATACCTACCGTGCAAAACATGGCTGGTGACTGGAGGAGCTTCTTAGCACTACATAATATTCTGTGTGAGGGGAGGTGGTTAGAGTTAGGAATAACTAGTCCATAAAGTAGGACGAAGCTGTTTTTACTGGAAAACTTGCTCTATTTTGCATCTTTTTCTTTTGAGTGATAAGTCAGGGGGAAAAAAAATCATTATTTTTGCTCTTAATTCTGTGAATTCCTGTAAGGTTCAGAAAAGATGTGAGTAGAATTTACAAGATTATTGAAGATTATGCAATGGTCCCATATCTGTGAGCAGTTCAGGGAAAAAGAGTCACTGTTACTTGTACTGTCACTTAAATATGATATGAGAGAGACACTTCCCTCCCCTGCTTCCTGCCTCCTTTTATGTTCTTTGCAATGTGAATATACTAACATCTATTTGAAAGTTATTTTTGTCACCTAGGCCTTCTCTTTCACATCTACCTCAGAAGCAACACTTGCATCTTGGCTGCGTGTGTTTGTTTAATCTAAGGAAGAGCAAAACTTCTTCAGATGACCATAAAAGCAGAAACAATTGTTTGCCTCAAGATCATGGTGAGCATTTGTTTATCTCACCTTTAAGGTGTTTTGTAATCAGTTTTTCCCAGATCCAAAAGATAATGTCCAAGGAGATGACAGCTAATAGATGCAAATACTGTGTGAATTATACTTGTACTGACTTGCATCAGTCACCCTGTGTGACAACAAAGGAAGAAAAGGAAAACAGATAGTGGTCCTTGTTCTGCACTGTGTTGAGGGCCCTTGACTTGCCCTGAGACAAACAAACAAAATGGATGGATACAATAGAGTAGAAATTACTGTATTTTTTTCCCACTCTCAGCTCTTCACCACGTCTGGTTCTGCATAGATGTGATGGAACGGTTGTTTTCGAGTGTTAAATAATATACATACTTATATAAGAACAAGCTCAATCCCTTTTTTGTGGGAGTGGTACTGTGCATTAGGATTTATTTTCTCAGACACGACAGCGGCTTTAAGGGCTGCTGAGAATCCTGGTAAATTTTTTTCCTGGCGGTGCTGTCCAGTGGGAAGGGCTGGTGCCCTGGCGCTTCGGTACGTCCTTCTCTTCTGATGGACATGCTTCTCCAGGTGGTGTGCTGGGGGTGGGCAGCTCTGTGTGCCTGGGGGCTTTCAGCTGGGTGGGTGGGTGTGCTTGGTGTGTTTTAGTGTTACATACAATTCCAGAGGTGGCTCTCTTGTGGTTCGTTGCTAGAATAACAACAGGAAAGTGTTGGATCTTTGATGTTTGCCTGGCAGAGTTTTCCCTCCTCTGTGTTTTGTACCTCTTGCATTTGCCTCATCACAGTCTGGTTCCCTATAACCTTGTCTTCATTAACAACGTGCTGTAGCCCCTCCACAAACGAGATGATGATGTCCCTTATATGCTCGTAATGGTTAGCTGTAAAAAAGGCTTAACTGAAGTATTTCAAAAGACAGAAGTATCAATAATGGAATCTTCTAAGTTGTCCTAAGTTTATGCTTCTGATTGGACCAGCTAATTTCCTTGGACAACTGACTTGTCCTTGCAGTCAGTAGAGACAAAGGGTCTTTTCTTTAGGGCAGCTCAGAAGAAACTCAGTTTCAGTGCTCTGGTCACATTCTATTCTAGAAACGTTTTTTCCTTGTATTTTCTTTCACTTGTTTTCTCCTTTTCTGTACTGGCTGTAGAGGAAACCTGGAGACATGAGCCAGCCAAGCTGTTGGTGGTACCAGTTGCACAATTATACCCACAGTTACCAGGTAGGACATCTTTGGAGGGTGACAATGAAGGCATTGGTTGGAAGACCTGTTGAGTTTGCCCAGTGCAAAGCGGTTTTTACTTGACTTGAAGGAATGCTACATCTTAAAGAAATAAAGATCTGCATTTTGTGCTCTTCTAAATGCAGGCCTTTGTAAATTACAGCAATACAAGGTCGTCTCTAGAATCTTCTCTCTGTTAAGAGCAAAATACAGATTGAAACTAGTCCTGTAGTCAGATGGGTTGCAGAAAGTAATGCATCTCTCTTACTGCTTTCAGGGAAGTGCTTAGTAGCATATGAGTGCCTATATACAGGTAGATCCCTCCTGTGCTGCTGACAGATGCTGCTGATAGGCATTTTCTATGGTATTAGAAGCTCCTTCAAAGTGTTCTGTTAAATGGTGCCCAAAATGTAGGTCGTTCTTTCCTAAGTGAACCAACAAGCAAGGGTGGGGAGTAGCATTTGAGAGAGCATGTAAGTGTTTGACACAACCTTGTGAGTTTGAAAAGATGGAAAATTCTTTATCTGGCACAGTTTGGAAAAGTGTTGTTAAACCAGGCAAAATGTATTTTGTTTCCACTTTAAAAATTAAATTAAAAAGGCTGTAGGAATTTCTCCCTGTGATGTTACATTTTGAATAAAAGCATAACGAGCTGGCCAAGGCTGCTGGATGAGGTCCTCTGTGAAGGGGAAACTGTGGGAGAAATAATGTGGTCAGAGCCTGTGTGAACCCTTGGACTGAACGTGCTGATCTGCAGCTCACCGGTGGAGTTGGTTGTTTCAAGGGTGAGGATGGTGTCACTCCAGCCTGGGCTGGTGGCATCTGGGGAGGGACTAGTGCCATCTGTGAGGGGCTGCAGCTCAGCCCTGTCACCGGCAGGATTGTGGTGACAAAGTTGAGTCGGTGGCTTGAACACGTGAGGTCAGTCCTTGGTGAGCCTGCCCTGGTTTAAGGGATTTCAACCATTTTTGGGGAGAATTCAGTTGCATGTTGCCTGCTTGTGTGCACTAGTTTCTCCCACATATGGATTTTGTGGGAGAAACCACAGGGGTTTCCCTACACTTCCTTTCACCTCCCTGTGTGCTGCTGCACAAGGGGCTGCCTGGGCAGACCCCAGCTTTGTCTCTTAGAACTGTCAGTAAATGTGATCTTCCTGAGCAGAAAAGGCACATTTCTATCCCTAGCGGTCACTTCTTGTTTTGGGAGTGGAGAGAATGGGTTCAACTTTATATTTTTGTGGAATGTAGATCTAAATTATTATTAAAATGAGATCTTAGGAGAGAGTGTTTATATATTTATGGGGGAAGAAAGAACTTTGTTAGATAGCTCTTTGAGGTAAATGTACTTGTCGGAGAATTTATTATTTGAGTCCTGTGGTCTTCCTGAATGCATTTGACATGATCGTTTTTCACTTGTACCATTTGTTTCCTGTCTCATTATATAAGTTAGAAAACCACTCTAGGGTTGCCTTTACTTTTATTTGCATTAGAAACTGCACCATAAAAAATGTTCTCCTTGGGTTGCCTGCTGCTGAGCCAAGAGCTGTAAATAAAGTGGTTTCTAATTGAAATCCGGGAGAACCACAGAACTGTCATAATTAATGTACCCTTCGTTTTTTCTTCTATTTTTTTTTTTTTTTAATATTACCACATATTTTTTTTTATAAAATGAACCAAGCTTCTTTTCTTTCTAGTTACCCTTAACTTGAAATAGTCACTTCTTGCTGTTAGTGTTTCCATACACTTTTCTGGATAAATGAATTCTTGAAGCTGGGGAGTTTTTTGTTTTGTTTTGTTTTTAAACTTTTTTGTTTATTTCAAAATTTTTTTAGTTACAGAATTTGCTTACCAAGAAGAGCAGTTTTGGACAAGAGTAAGGAAAAATACATTGTGGGTAAGCTTGGTGTGAGCATGTTGTGATCTATGGGCAGATATTACTGAGAAGTGGTTTTCTGCTTTTGGCTGGGAGGGTGGGCACATGTTGCCACTCATGTTTTAATGGAATACTCCATCTGCTGTCAAGCTAAGTCTCTTTCTGAACACGAAAGTTTTGTGCCAAATGCAACATCAAATCCAGATAAAAGTGGTGGGGTGTTTGCTTCAGCACTCTGTAAATGTTAAAACCCAATGTGTTGAAGAGGGTGGGCAAATTCAGATCCTCTTGTGTATCTGGTTCTTTGCTTATTTTAAAATGGCAAATACTTGTCATTCCAGTTGGTTTTTAGTTTGAAACACATAGGCAGGTATTCTTTTGATCTGTAAATGGCAGTTTTGTTGGGGATTTTTTAGTTAACTAGTTTGGTATTATCTGCTTTATTCGTAGAGTTCTCATCACAGATTACCTAATGTGTTGGATTCCTGTCTCTTGTGCTGCATGTTATTTTTACCCATTTTGCAAAGGCTGGTGCTGTGCCACCAAAGAGATTTTTTTTTCTCCTAATGTTAAGGAGATGCAGCAAGTCTGTCATCCATTAAGGTTCAGAATCCATAATACTCATGCATTTTGCTCTAATCATCTGCAGTGTAATTTTTATATTTTTTATTCTGCATATTGACAGGGTAATTTTTTGTTCAGATATGACAGCCATGAATCATTCGGCAAGTTACTTGATTCACATGGAAGATGATTATTTTTCTTTTTTTTTTTAAGCACCTGGTGGGGATGGCAAGAACTCTTCTTTTGCTGCTTCACCAGATTTAGGAGTGGGAGCTGTGAGGGTCTTTGCTTAGCATCTGCTTTGTTTCTGATTAGAAAGTTAACAGCCCTGTGAGCCTAGAACTGGTTGTCTGTGGTGGTCCTTTATGCTTTGGGATGGAGTCAAAATGCTGATTTATGTTAGGATTTCCCATCTTAGCTGAAGTCTTTCAGTCTAGGACCGTCCAAAAGACAGGAACTCCCTGAAAATTGTGGCATTCTCAAGTCCAGGGCAACTTCCTTCTGATAATAACTGAGGCAATTTATCCATTTGAGGATATGGCTAAAACTGAAATGGAAATGAGCCTACTTGCTAAAGTCTTGCCAAAGATTCTATTTTTATTTGCATCATCTTGTTGTTAAGAGCCTATAGAAGCTAAGAAATAGAAGTGGGATCTAGAAGAAATAGATGATGGTGATTTAAAATATACAAAATTGTTCAGGTAACATGAACCAGAAACTTCTCAGTGGCTCAGTTTTCTATTGCTGTGGGTATATAAAATACACCATTCTTGTGCTTGTGGGAATGGTCTATAGCTGGGACAGCAGACCAGTAAAGCCATGTGCACAGAGTTACACTGCTATTTCCATCTCAGGCTGAATGGACTGTGTAAGCCCATAAAGATGTAGAAATAGTCATCAACCACAGGCTGCAGAGTGAGACTGCATGTACAACTGGAAAGGTTGTGCAGGCTGCACTCGATATTTGTGCTTTGAAAAGGATGCATGTCTATGAGGATTGCCAAATCACTTCTTTCTCACCAGACTCACCAGAAGCCTTGAATTAGAGAGGTCTAAGGTCTGTCCGTCTGAGGATTTCATGTCTTAAGTAGTCCTGTGTTTTCCAGAGAATATTAGTAGTCCTCTATGTTTTCCTCTAAGAAATATTTTTCAGTTCAGGACTTCATAGCTCACACTAGTGAATAAATCATCCGAATCTCCCGTTCAGGTTTTCCTGACAAGAACAGGTGTATCTATTGGAAATCAGGACATAATCATTTATCAAATGGATCTCCAGGACTATGCTGTGTACTTGTACTGTGGTTTGCTGATCAGTGTAGAGAGCATGACCAGCTGCCTTAGCAATGCCTGTGCACAGAGTATCAGAGAGGTGTTTTACTTCCTGCACAAACACAGATTTTCTCCATTCATCAGCAGCTCTTGATATCTTTGTGGGGAAGGAGACCAGTCCTGGGTTGTGGCTTCTGCTGGTACACCCGGGGCAAAAAGAGGAGGCTGAAGCTGTGGAATTCAGGCCACTGATCCAACACTCCTCTGTTTTCAACAGGTGTTTGTACAGTGCAAGGCCACTGTAATAGATTTTTACAAGAAAACATTATCTATGTGTCAGAAGGTCACTGGGGAGTGGTGGCTCACACTTGCAGGGCTTCAGAAAGTGTCAGAATTGTTTGATAATTCAAGGTCTCTCTGTGAAGGAAGATGACCATGCCATTTCTCTTCAGAACAGGACAGGAGATCTCAAAGGAACAGGGCATTGCAGTTGGTCTATTAAGACCATTTCAGCCTTCCAGAACTCAGGGAGGGTTCTATGAGAGAGAGCTCTGGAGTTAATGAGATTGCAACTGAAATTTTCAATGTGCAGAGGAATTTTGGTCCACTCTTGAATCTAGACTTGGTGGCATGGTTTTAACCCCAGCCAGCAGCTAAGTACCACACAGCCACACCGTGGTGGGATGGGGAAGAGAATCAGAAAAAGTAAAACCCATGGCTTGAGATAAGAACAGTTTAATAATTGAAGGAAAGTAAAATAAAATAATAATAATTCCTCTCCCCAGTGTCTGTACTGGGCATGATGTTCTGTGCTATGGAATATCCCTTTGGCCAGTCCAGGTCAGCTCTTCTGGCTGTGCTCCCTGCCAGCTTCTTGTGCACCTCTGCACTGGCAAAGCGTGTAAAAACTGAAAAGTACTTGACTAAGAGTGAGCACTACTTAGCAACGACTAAAACATGAGGGATGATATTCCATCTCATCCTAAATCCAAAGCACAGCACTGTACCAGATACCAGAAAGAAAATTAACTCCATCCCAGTGGAAATCAGGCCACTGGCTAAAACTAATGTAGAAAATGTAGAGAGATGCAGCATTTGACATAGCTAGGCATTGCTAGAAAATATACCAGTAGGATAATATAAGACTGCATGAACTGTTCTGAGTGCTGCATTACCAGACATTAATGAAGGAGAAGATGAAGATTAAAGGCTTAAGATTTCTGTGTCAAATGGTCTCCTCCAAGGCAATGCCCTGTATAAAGCTAAAATGAAAATCAAATATACACAGATGTTCTCAATATTTAAAAAAATAAAATGAAAAAAAAAATTAAAAATTAGGCTTACTGAAACTCTTCACTTTTCAAAGATTTAGATATTCATGCTGTACAGCATCTGATACAGACGTTTCTCATAGCCTGAATTTGCAGTCCAGAAATGCTAAGAACATGACAGCAACAGTACTGTTGATTATCTTTTGTCTTGTGCAGTTACTGCTTTTCCAGAAGGCTTGTCTTCAAATCTCCTATAAGGACAATTGGATTTAATTTTTTTTTTAATGTAGGACCATTGCCTATTAAAAAAATAAAACATTGTTTTGTACAAGCCAAAATCATATTACTGTTGTTCTAGCCTGATTCTTGGCATCTGAAGGAAAACAAATCTTGTGCATTAGGTATTCAGAGGCAACTTTAAATCATATGTGCAGTGCCTTCATTATATATTATCCTTTCTTACCGTCTTGTAACTGAGGAACAGTAATAAGAATTTTTCATTGCAGGATAAAGGAACAAATGTAAGGCTGTTCATACATAGGAGAAAATATTTTATAAGTCTTGTAACCCCACCTGGGAGGTCTCTGCTTGAAATCTTTATCAGATGAAGCTGCTGTTGAACACCTGCCTAGCATTTATGCAGGTTGGTGCTTTCCTGCTTTGGGTGCAGCCTTGCAGGAAGGCTGTTCAGAACACCCTGGTGCTATGGAGGTTTTGCAGCCTGCACCCAAGGTAAAGGCCATGAGGTTTGGCCAAGAGGAACAACGGTGTTTCCTTAGCATGAGTGCAGGTGTGCCATTGGAGCTGAGCACAGGAAAACAAGGACAAGGCTCAGCATCTCCTCAGGACCTGCCTCCTGCAGGGCACACCGTGGGAGCACTGCTTCCCTCTCACCGTGTGCCACCATGCTTGCAGAGTGGGAATGGTGTCACCATGGCAGGGATTCTCGGGACACTTGTGTCCCTGCCATGCCTTCCCTTGTGTCTGGCTGTGTTGAAGCTTTGGGGAGGTCCCAGAGCTGCTTACTCTGGGTGAGAGAAGCTGAAGGACTGTCTGCTGAGGTCTGGCTGGTGTTGCCCGAGCTGCTTTTGCTTCTGATTTATCAGCACACTTCAATGTCTCTCACCTTTCGTCTCTGCTGAAGTTGGTTTTACCTCCTCTTTTAGCTTTTTTTAAAAAATCAACTCATAATCCATCCTTACTCACATTCTTCAGCTCCTGGTTGTGTTATCTGGTGTTTGCTGTGATGAGGGCTGTTAGAAATGGCATTTTTGGTTGTATTTTTTGGTCATGAAGTCCACAGTCAGAACTAAAAAATGCCTGAGGTCCATGGCACTACTTCTCCATCCTCTGGTTGTACTGCTTGTTGCCACTGTTGCTTGGGCAGTTCCCAAGGGTGCTTCAGTGGGGAACATCCATACTGCTCACTTACAAACTACTTTACCAGTCAGATGTCTTGGGTAGATAATCCAGAGGTTTGAATCTGCTGTAAATGAAAAGTGAACAGAAGGGAAACCACGAGTGTGTCAGCATCACCATCTTTTTTCCAGAATCCTGTGATAAATCTGATAACACTGTTCTGAGAATTGCTTGCCTACTAATTATTGGAAAAGCATTACCTTTTTTTTTGTGTCTGTAATTAGCATTTCAGCTTGAGTCTAAGGCCTGATGATAAATGAGTCTGGTATGCCATAGATTCAGTAAATGATGAAAAACTGAAGTCTGTGTTTGCTTAGTTTCTTTCTTCATAAAACAAACAAAACTTGAGCTGATCTCTGAGTAGAAACAGTGTCAGAAATTATGTGGTCTAAAGGAGGAGGTTGGTTTTATTTCTCCATTTCCTCATCGGATGGCTCACAGTACATGTAAACAATGCAATAAATAAATAGTCCAAGTCCAATCTTAGCTAAGATAACC